GCTGTCCCCGGGGGGTGGTTGATTCTAAATTTTTATCACATTGAAATTTCTGCTATCTCTTCCTAAACCATCAGAGTTAGGAAGGTGAAACTTTGGTGAATAGTTTACCCATCTTCAGGGAGGTGCATAAGCACTTAAGAATTTTAGTGCAACAGGTTGGGCTGTATCCTGGGGGGGGGGGGGGTTGATTCTAAATTCTTTTCACATGGTAATTTATGCTATCTCCTCCTAGACCATTCAAGTTAGGAAACTGAAACTTTGGGAATTGGTAGATCAAAATTTTGGGTACTCTACTATAGTTCCTGTTCCGTGCAGTGAAAGCACCGCATATGCTATAACAATATAATTTCGTGATTACAGAATTGTGTACAGGTCTAACAGTGAAAGCACCACATATGTTATAACAATATAATTTCGTGATTACAGAATTGTGTACAGGTCTAACAGTGAAAGCACTGCATATGCTATAACAATATAATTTCGTGATTACAGAATTGTGTACAGGTCTAAAAGTTTGGTAATTTTTCACCACTGAGAAGATCTAGTCAATACAGTATTCTCGGGTTTGTGGAAACAAATCAGATGGTCCAGCATTATGTGGTTAGAACTTGGAGGAATATAGAATGGTTAATTCACCCAAGGTTAAACCTGTGCTAGACAGTTTTGATATCATCTGTTAAGTCAACCGTAAGATTTAAAGAGCAAGCAGAAGCTAACGTGACACAGCTTTCCTGCTGGAGTATTGATCCCTGCCTGTACTGTACCACACACTACACTGCAGCACTGAATAGGGTCATAATACAGAGAATACTTGGTTGTCATTCAGATTACAATACAATACAATACACACAAGTACTATACAGTGCAATGCAGTGTAATGCAATTGCAATACAATGCTACACAATTACCATGCAATATGTAGTAGTACACACAATATATACGATGCCAAAGATGTTGTGTGGTATAACTTAATTATTTATTGATTCCTTTGTTGCCATTTAACATACAATGCAACACAATACAATACAGTGTAGTAGAGTTACTCCATCTGTAACAGTCTATGAAAATTGAAAAGTCATTCCATATTCCGCCATACCATACCTTTGAAAAGTCATTTCAGATTCTGCCATATATACCATACCATACCTTTCAGCACTGACTTTCCCTTTGTGTGTGATTCAGTTTTATATCTACAGTAGATAGTTGACAGGTAGTGATCAAAGGCCATCGAGGGGAGAAACCTTTTTTGGTGACACTTTTTCATGGACAAATTATATTTATCTCTTAAAAAATTATCAAAACATAATCCTTGTCCTTAGGTATTAGTTCAGCATGAAGTGTTTTTTTTTTTTTTTACACTTAAGGTGTGTTAAAAATTTCACATTTAGTCTTTTTAAGCATTGGTTAGAGACAATTACTAATAAGGCTTCCCCCAGGGAACCAGCCATCATTTGAATGGCCATGAGCCTCTAGAGAGAGTATAATATTCAAAGACAGCTAGACAGTTTACAAAAGTTTTGGGTTGGTTTTTTGG